CTAACTATTCTATGATTCTATGATTCTTTACATGCTTTATTAAATGCCACCTCAATCCAAAGTAACAACATACATTTCCTTTTAAGAGTCCGAAATAGGTCAAGTGTAAGTAAAAATCCTGGGAAAAATAAATTCATAGTTTCAATATCTAACTGTATTTCCACAGTGAATATTTAGTCTCCAAATTTTGTAGGATTTGTTCAGGTTTTTGTACATTCTAAAAGCGGGGATTTTGATACATAAAGTTATGACAATGCATTACCTTAGGAAACTCACACACAGCTGGAAAGTCATCTAAAGATTGTATCTTCCAGTAACTCAATACAATAATCCAGTGCTGATTTGTTACTGTTTAATGTCACAGCCACAATCAGTCTCTGTACCCAGTTCTGGGCTCCTCAGTACAAGAAAGATAAGGAGCTACTGGAGAGGGTCCAGTGGAAGGAATCAGTAAATTCGCCCATTTATTTAAATTCAAAATTTACAGAATATTGGATCAGTGAGTTTATCCCACTGATCTTAGTGAGTTTTAAAAGGCTAATATTAAATAAACAACAAGGGATTTTCTAAGCCTTTTGCAGCAGTCTGAGAAAAGGCACTTATTTAAGTAACTTTCTGACCTTGCACAGTTTGCTCCAATCTCTGGTACAGTCCTGTCGAAATCCAGCAGTAAAAGCTCCCAGATATGCTATCACACCAGCTGATATCAGAACATCTCCTGTTAAATTATCATATACATCTTGGAGATCATTTGCAGCATTATTCCATCTATGACAAGCAGAAGATAAGGAAAAAAATGGTGCTGAAACTTCCACTTTAATGATACTGATGATAACAATCAACATTTGTTGTTGTTGATCTTAACTTCAGGTGGAGAATAAGGACATAGCATCTATGTATTTTAATTTTGTTTTGAAGACTTTCTCTATGATTCTCCCAATGTTGCTGCCCATATTTTTACATTACAAACAATTAGGATTTTTTCAAGGGCCCAGATTCTTAAGCAGGACAGCCCTCAGACAGAGATAGAGCATTAAATGCTCACAGTACTCAAGTTCAAATTCTTTTTCAACAATGGCTGTTATATCTGACATCTGAACTTTAACCTGACCTTGATTTCTCTCCACCAAGGCCTCCAATCAACTTCTCTGCTCGTTCTAGTTTTTTAGCACACAGATCAACCTGGAATTCTAAACGAGCCTTTTCTTCAGTTTTCTCAGAGAAGTTTTGTTCCAAAGCAGCCAAATCACTTTCAACTTCTGCAAGTTCTTCTCTCTTCTGATTCAAGAGTGCCAGGGTCTCTCCTAAGGACTGCTGTGCCTCTTTTAGACGAGCCTTCTTGGGTGCAACCACCTTTTAAATTATAACCAATACACAAATATTTAAAGCACATTTTTTTTAACTTTACTATTTAATACAATGCTTAGGGTGACTATACCAAGCAAAGGAAAGATTTCATAGCACTGAGGGACTAGGATCAAGACCGCACCTTTGCCACCCTGTCATACACCTCCATCGCTGTAATCCATTTGCATAAACCCTCTGCTGCTGAGGAAGCTTTAGCCACCTTTTGTGGATCAAACTCAGGATTAGTCAAGTATTCAGTCCGAATCTTCTGCATGATAGCTGCCTGATTAACAAAAGTATTGTGGGTGACACTTGAAAATGACACTGATTGATTGCCATTTCTCTACACAATGAAATAGGGAAGAACTAGTCAGTATTAATTACAGTAGAAATCAGTTTCTTTTGATTTTCCTGTTTTATAAATGGCAAAGCATATTCAAGTTCCACCGAATCGGGCAAGTGGCAGGAATCACACTCTCACTAAGATCTTGGGGAGAAGTGATTATATTCTAAATCAAGTTAAATAGCTAGTATATGTCTGTGTTTATTGTGTATCTTCTGGTATACTTAACAAAATATTCCTTTTTTTAATCAGCATTCATTCAATCAAAACAATACAATTCGAAACAGCCATTAAGAAGAGCACTAACATGGACAGTTATTTAGAAATAGGAGAAGTCTGTAATGCTGAGTAATCGATTTAGAAAAAACAGCACAAAAAAGTCATAGGAAGACTGGATGGAGACCAAATGGTCACTGGTTCCATACAAAAAAAACCAACCCAACCAAAACAGAATACATAAAATGAGGGTTAAAAGACACAGATTCAGAAGAAACAGGAGATAACTCTTCATTCCACATAAAGCAGACTTCTGGAATGCTTTGTTAAATAAAAAAAATCTTGTAGATACAGAAAGTTCACATGGGCTTAAGAGGACAAGGGAAATTACAGAAAACAGATCTACTGAAAGATACCAAACACACAGAAACAACATCTAGCTTTGGAAGTCCTTCATTTAAAGTGCCAGAGGCTTGAAGAATGTTTGGAGAAATTATCATATATAGTATTCCTTTTCCATGCTTATGGTCTTGGACATTTTTGGACACGGGATGATGGACAGGACAGAATATTTACTCTGATACAGTTTTTTGTGTGTTTTTACCTTTTGATAATATACTAGATATAAATTGCAAAGGTAGAAACATTTTGCACAGAGGACATTTCATTCAAATAGAAGACAAGCTGTATAGAAGACTTAAAATTTCCAAAAGGGAATTCTAAAACCCCCTGAAACGAAACTTACAAGGCTCACCCAGAGCAGTTTTGACTTACTTGCCATGACCATACTTATCCTACAGAGATACCCTGCCATCTTGCAAAGATCCTTAGTCAGAACAGAAGTTGACTAACTTAGGATAAATGACGCCTCTGATATAGTATTTTCTAACTTTTTTTCCCCTGCAAGAAGGTGTGTAGATGGTAAAAAAAGAACTGAAAATTAGACAGAAGCCATACTGGAATATTGTCCTTGTCATACTCTTTCAAATCCTTTAAGAAATTTATGTCACCAAGCAGTTTCTTGCTTGGAGTCCAGTAATCCAGAATCTACAAAACACAGTAGAAACATTTTTTCAAGCTTTAAAACAAACACACAAACAAAACAACAACAGAAAGACATATCTCTCTAATTAAACCTCCTGTACGCTTAATACTGATGACATTGTAGCTCCTTGAGATGTCAACAGAGGAGAAAGTCTATCAGTTCAAATCTTTCCCTCAAACCATACTTAAAGCCAAAAACTGAACAGTGTCTCAGGGAAGAGTTACATGTTATCTGTTATCAATATATGAGTCAAGCAAATTAAATGTGTCCTCTTCGCACATTACAAAACTTAGAAAAGTTGGAATTCTGGGCGTTTTCAGTAAGATAATGGATAAAGGCTCTAAGTACTAGCCTACTTTAGTGGGCACTGAGTGATCTTGTTTATTGAACAAGTGCTCTGTGTTGAGGAGAATATGAATTATACTTTTTATTTGAAACCATTGTCAGTGATCTTACCTTGCCTCCTGTTCCTGAAGGATCTGGAATTCTGTGAGGTTTTATGTCTTTCATGACACAGACAGCAGCCATGACAAGTTTGACACCAGACGGAGGATTTTTCATTGATTTGACAATTGATATATCAGAAGGCTAAAATAAAAATCACATTTACAAAAATTATGAAAACTATTATGCCTATATGCACCAAGATAAATGAACTAACAGAAAACAGGAGGAGTTATAACACATTAACAATGAACATAATCATAGAGGACTTTTAGAAGGGATGATACAGTGTTAGAAAGACAATTAACGATATCCATCAACAATACTGCTTTCAGATCCTGTGTAAGTCATGACAAGGACAAAAACTTCAAACCCAAGATCCAGATAATTCTTCTCCATAAACAAATGCCATGTTACACACTGGCAGTCAACATTAACTTAGCTTAACATTAACTTACCAGCAGGTTACCTCCTCTGGTAACCTCAGGTTTTGGTTGCTTTTCCCACAAGTGGGCTTCCTTGCAAATAATATTTTAAATTCATATCCACCCCCCTTTTTACTCTGAGTTCATGTAGAGAACATAATACTGAACAATGACTGTACTAGTCCTCTCCTTTGCCAAAACCAAGGAAATGTAACACTTTTCAAATTCTTTTCATCTTTGTGCATTCTTTGCCAAGTAAGAGTTTCATCGTATCAAATAACTCCTTGAAATGCTGAAGTTTAGATCAGCTTGCCTTCAAAGTATTAAGAGCTTCAAGTGCGGCCTCCAGGGCTGGGATTGCCTCTGCCAGGTCACTCTCACATTCATTTTTCAATGCCTGAGCTTCTTCAGCTTTTGCTGTAGCAATTTCTTCATCTACTTTTACAATTTTTCTTTTTTGTTCTACTTGTGCAGATTCTACTTCTATAGTCTATAAAGAAAAACACATTGATGAGCTTCCTATTGAGTACTGAATGATCAAATCAATTGACATTACCTACGATAGCACTTATGGAATACTGTAAAACAAAAAGAAAACTGAAGTATTTCAATAATTTCATATATTTTCTGCTTATATTAAGAGAATAATTTGTTTCTTAGCATAATGCATCATCATGGAGCTTTAACAGTAGGTGAACTGCATGAAATCACATTACTGTCAATAAAAGCTATTTAAAATATGTCTGAAGTTCAGGAGACAGCAAACTCTTCATGTTTATGCACCAGGCTGCAACTAAAAATTACCAGCTACAGAGTGAGCTTTCACAGCTTTGTAGTCTATAACATTGACTACTGAAATTTATTTGCTTTCCAATGATGAGTCATCCAAGTACTCCCTTTGCCGTTCTGCAGAAGTGCCATCTTGTTTGCTTAGAGTTTCATTAGAGTAGGTAGAAAAGATAACACTGTATCTGTAAAAACACTTGAAAATCAGAAGCAAGTGCATAAACCCACCAAATCAACCTTGCTTTTTTTTTTTGTGATGCAACACTAGCATACTAGGTAAGTATATTTTTGCAAGTCAGAATTTTCTGAAGCACCTACGAGACTGTTTCCTAAATCCCACTAAATTTCCATGAAGCTAATACTTTTTAAAATTCTTTAAAAAAATATATATATAAATAAAATCAGGCATATAACCCCTATGCATGCAAAGACAGGTTGTGCAAAACTGGTCTTGGCTATTTTCTATGCTGAAGAACTATTTGTGGGTTTTGCAATGTTTATAAATGATCTTGGGAAACCTGGTCTAACCACTACTAGCACGAAAGTTCCTCTAACATCCTTCAGCATGGAGCTTAGGCAAGGACAGCATACCAGATTCTGCATCTTACATAAGGAATACAGTTTTCTTCCAGTTCTAATGCTATAAGCATAAATAGTGGCAAGTTTCACAATATTAAAACCCCCAGTAAACAAGTATTGAGTTCAAGAACTCAACTCTTAGAAAATAAGTCACATATCAGCAACCTTATACAGGCATATTTTTTAGAACCTGTCGACAATCAGCTGAGATACTGAAGTAAAAGTACATTGTACAATTAAGACCCCTCATTCAAAGCTAATCAATACGAAGGTGAAATTATGCATCCCAAGTATACACATGCTTACATTAAAAACCACAAAGCTGTATTGTGTCACCCTACCTTCATCATTTTTGCATTATCCACTTTAGCCTCTTCCAGTTTGGGCTGCAGCTGAACTAGTTCTTGTTTCATCTCACCAACCTACAAATATGTAAAAGAATCAGGTAGGATTCAGAAATGCTAAGTTGAATTCCAACAATTTCTACAATACTTAGATTTCACCTAATGCCTAATTTATTGATAGAAGGAAATATCATATGTACAATCTCTAATTTTAAGAATTACATTAACTTATAGTCACCTGTAAACCATTTAGGAAAGGGAAGCTCTGTTCATACACTGCTTAGCAATACCTGCTTAGAGGCCTGTGACCTCTGGCACAACTGCTGTGACTGTAGGAAAGAAGAGGCAAAATACATTTCCTATAGTTTTACTGTTGAAGACTGAGGTAAACAAAATCCACAGCAATGCTTTTGACTGACTTCTCCAGGAAAAGACCTGCTTTTGCCACACATTTTGTATTTTCAGTTCCATTTTTGTCTTAACTTACCTGTGATTCAGCAAAAGCTAGCTTATCTAGTCCATTTATGTACTTCTTTTTGGCTTTCATTACAGCGTCTCGTTTCTGAGTAAGAAGCTTCCGAAACACAGCAATAAGCTCAAGATAAGAAGTAGGAGTAACATAATTATGGCGTCCCAGACTTTGCAAAAACCTATTCAAAACAAAACAAATCCCAAACATGAGTACCTAAGGGGTTTTTTTTCCTTGGTTTTTTTTTTTTTTTTTTTTTTTGTTTTTAGTTCAACTATTGTTAGCAGACTTATGTAACTGATAAATAATGGAAGTAACCAACTTGGACAATGATACGTAGTATTTCAATGCAGCTAGATATTATACATTAACTTTTAATATAGAAATCAGTAGTAATGAAACTCAATCACCTACTATTTTGTTGTTTCTTACTTCTAAAAATTCAAATTTTGAGTTCTCTGTTGTTCAATTTACTACTTTCAAAAGCATCACTTTTTCCCTCTTAATATTTCTGTAAGTTAATGGTTGCTTTCAAAGGAAACAGACTGACCTTGCAGAGAGTGACAAAACTGAAGTATGAAAGTATTTACAGATGGGTACAATTTCCTGACGTTCACTATCTGTGAACTGAATTGTTTCTAAGAATTTATTAGCCACACGTTCAAGGGCATCTTCAGGCCATGGCTGAGGGAGAAGCGAGGAGAAAAGCATTTGTAAAATACAGCTGTTAGCAGTCCTCACACCTTAAAAACATTTTTTACCATTCAAAACACCAGAATAAGACACACTAGTCCCAACTATGTTTTAAGAACCATTAATTGATATAAGGGTTAGATCAGGCCGCAACGTCACTACCCATGCAATCTTTTCTGGCAACTCCTGGCTGATTTTCTAGTTAAAACCTGCATATTGCCATTCTGTCCAAACACTTCCATGTCTATGTCATCCTCTGGCAAAACCCCAAAAATTGGCATCAGCACCAGGTCAAACTATAGAGATAACTGCACTTTATTGAGAGTAACACCACTTACATCAAGGATCATTAACTACAGTAATTTTCCAAGTTTCATTCTATAGAGGAGCTACCAATAAACAACAGGACTTGTATTTCCTAGTCGTTCCTATGATGTCTGCTTAACAGGGAGCAGCAATTATGATCATTTTACAATGGTTTCACTAGTCCTTTTAAAACATACACATTACGTGATAAAATGTCAAGTTACCATCACCAAACTACTGTTCACTACTTCAGAAATGCAAAATTTGTAACATCAAAATTTAAGTTTGTTTAGCTGTGTAAATACTGAGATGGGACAACAAAGAGCTCCTGAAGCATTACAAAAAATGCCTATGCTATTTCAGAATCTTGAAAAACGTGGCATGGAGTACTTCTATAAAAAAGACAAGAGAAAATCTAATGGGACATGGAAATATAGATTGTTAGAAAACTGAATTCATTTGTTGAGAAAATAATAGAAATATTTTCACATACCTGGAACCAATCAATAGTACAGCAGTTGATGAGTGATGGAAACTGTCTCAGACGGTTGCGGAAAGCATCTCCAATTGGGCTAAATGCTACCACAATGTGGAGATTTTCTTTGCAGAAGTTCACAAAAAGTGCAAACAAGGCTAAGGGACTGAGTTCCTCCTGTTTACTGCCAGCCTGGACTCTTGCACGAACACCCTTAGGAATAATACATAGGGTAAAAACTTACAAATTTCCCATTAAGCACATGTTAAGTTCTATAGCAATCCTGTTAATGACAACCTCGCCATAAAATACCGTATTTTATTGATAAATGAAACAGGTAGAATAAAGTAGAAAAACAGAACAAGTCATAGATATTTGAGAAAAGGATTACAATATTTATCTGTGACCCTGACAACTCATTCTAGAAATGATCATTTGCTGCTGTTCCAGATGGATAAGACACATTAAGATGAGAGAAAGGATTAAGAGGATTAGTTCTGAAAAATTAAAATTAATAATTAGGTCCCTCAAGAAATAAAGACCCAAATCCTTCTAACGATAAATACAACAACTACTACTGCAAAAAGTAACTACACATGGAGTACTTGTAAACAATCAAAGTTCTCCATGTGCACAACTTAATGTGTTTGTGAACAGAATGCCATGTCAGAATTAAAGCTCATAATTGGGTATAAGTCATTCCGTAAGTTTGCTAGGTTTCCAAAAAGGCACAGAAGTAAGTGCATATATCCCAACAGCCAGACTTCACACTGAACTGACAAGATAGCTTAATAGGAGGTGACATTAAAGAGGGTTTCTAACGATACCTCTACAACCTCTTGTTTTTCATCTGCTGCAAAAATATTGGGTACCTCCCCAGTATTGAGGACACTGTCAATATCTTCTAAAAAGCTTTCTTCTTTAATTTGTGCATCTGTGAGTATAAATACGGTTTTCAAGCCTTTTACACCTGCATTCCTCAGAAGATTCTAAAAATACAAGACAGTTAAAACATTGTACATTCCGAAACATCTTTCCTCAAAATTAAGTCAAAATGCAGACAGGTTGCTAATACTCACTTTCAGATCTTCTCTCCACTCATTTGTACCATAGGTCTTAGAAATCTCAGGTTGAAAAACACACATTTTTGACATGAATCCTGCTAGACGAGTCAAAGACTGACGTCCACTTCCTCCCATTCCAATCAACAAAGCATTACCCCCTGACTGCTTCAGAATGCGGCTTATACGAGACAAGTGTTCCAACATGTACCTGTATTTGAAATGTGCTGATTACCAGAATGGCAGAAATCCATAGACATTTGTGCACCTATAAATCTGTGAAACAAATATAGGAGTAACATCTCCAAAAGAAATTTGTGCAAGCAGGGTGTGTGGTGGGGAGGAGGAAGGAAGGGAGTGGGTATGCACCACAAAATAAAATAAAACACAACTCTTTTATCATACAAATACCAGTATTTAGCTAAATTACAAAATACTACAAATTACTAAGAGGTATCTGCAGCAGTGGGAACAGGAGCACTATATGGATAAAGGTGTCAAAGAAAACCAACATTAATTCTCTACTTTTAAAACATAGCAGTATTATCAGTGTTAACTTTCTTGAAGTATAACAGTTTAAATACTCTTTAAAGGAACAACTGTGAGAAAATGGGCTATATCAACAAACCTCTCCCTTCCCTCTGCCTCTGACAGTGTTTTATAATTTATATGTGAAATAGAGATTGGAATAACATGTTCAGAAAACAGTACATGCACAATACTGAGAGTCCTATCTATTGTGAAACACAAGCATAGTGTTGGAGTATGCAGCAACGTCTACAGCAGAGAGCCTGTTTAAGCACAGGGTAGTTCAAGTAAGATGAGCAGCAGTTAAAAGCAGTCTCAAAAAAGGTTACATCATTTCAAGTGAGAAATTCTTGTTTATTTTGATTGGTTAGAAACATAAAGGAGTCAAATCCAGATGTTATACATGACATTGGACTCCAAGGCTACAGTCAGACATGCTCTCCCAGCTGCTATTCAGTGAAGTAACTGGGATATTACTTCTACACTCATGAAGTAGCCTCTGATCAGAGGCTGCCAGCACTTCAAACTCCCAGAATAGCTGTATATACATGTACTCAAAAATCCAGCTTGTCAAATTGACATAGACTAAAATAAGCTGCTATTAGAATTGTTTGAACTAATCCTAATCACGCTCACAAAGCATCCAAGAATGAAGTTACACTGGCAAATAGGAAGAGGCTGTAATCTCTAGGAATAGGGAAGAAGGCATTGTGACCTCCTAATCTGTAGCCCTGCCTGATCACAAATTAAAGTAACAATAGCAGCCTGCAGTGTAAAAGTCCAGAGTGTTAGCTGCAGCACCAGGCTGGGTACACGCCCCCAAGTGGGGCATGGCTGTGCTGCAGAATACCAGAGCAGACAGACAGCTATGATTGTGCTGCATCTCTCTCTGCACCTCACAATCTTAGAATCCTTCTTCTTGGTGAAATGAAAAATCCAGTCACTGCAGGCAAAACTGAAATCCATTTTATAGAATCGTTTAGGATGGAAAAGACCTTTAAGCTCTGAGTCCAATCATTAACCCAGCACTGCCAAACCCACCACTAAACCATGTCCTTAAGTGCCACATCAACACATCTTTTAAACACCTCCAGGGATGGTGACCACCACTTCCCTGAGCAGCCTGTTCCAGTGTTGACAACACTTCACCGGTAACAAAGGCCTTGCAGAAGTAAAGCACCTGCCTGATTTAGTGCACAATGTTTCTTCAACAACCAAAGAAAATATTCAGAGACCCTTAGGAGGAAAGCTTCTCATTATTTACTTCCGGATAGAAAAAGCAGAAGCATAAGAGAAAAACTAGTTTACTTCCATCCAAAAAGGTCTAGCACCACAAACACTTCTGTGGATGTGTAAAGAGGAAGAGATGTACAAAAACCACACCCCACAAAAATGGATATGCTGAATTATCAACTACTGCTTAGAGCTCTAATAATCAGATTGTATGTACCTGAAAACAACAAGATTCATTCTTGATTTGTGGGTTTGGTTATATTCATCCAGACATTGCTCCACAACATCACCAAACTGCTGAACATTTGGAATTTCAACATAAAGTCTTTCATCTCCCTCAAGTTCTGGAATCATGTAGTCACCAAAAAACAAACTTCTCATGTTTTCTTCTGTTACCTATGGTAAATATTTAACAAATTATGAAGGCAAGTTTAATATTTGATGAGTATATGCCTCATTAGAATGTTAGAAAACTAATGAGAATTTAGACAAGCACTCAAGGCACAGCAACAAGCACTCTGAAATATTTTGACTTGCAGACAACACCCATCCCAAAAATCTCTATTTCCCATATTTAGCAATATTCTTAATTTGTTCTTGGAACACAGTTGGCTCAAATAGCCATTAACAGTCTCACAATCATGATTTTCAGATTACACGAAGTTTACACAGGTGTATATTTAGCAATTTTCAATGTATTATGAAATGGACAATGAAGAGTTATTTCTTCTATGCATCAATGAAAAGACAGGGGGATAACAAGGAAAAACAGAAAAAAGGAAATCAGGGTATACAGTATAACAACTATACGGAATCTTAAATACTGAAATTTCATGATTGCAGAATGCCGTTTACCACACAGTCACTCAGTCACAGTTTAAATTTAAAAAGGGGACATCTCCTTATCCTGTAACTCAGATCTCTGGAAGCCCACCTAGTAACATTCATACTTGTATTTCTCCTTGCAGCTACTTTTGTGTACAACGTTACCTCCCATTGCCCAAAGATTCAGTATGTGCTGCTGCATCTCCAAGAAAAGGTGTGGCAGAACTTTTTTGAGAAGTTGTCCCATTCACCTACTGATCAATTGGGCTCTTTATGTCTCTGTGCACACATCTGGGAGCTTAAGAAAACACTACACTTGGCAAATTCAATTTTGTACGTTAGTCTCACGAGCCTTTTTGATAAATCTGAAAAAACGTTGCCCTATTTTTTAATTGAATAAGAAACAAGTTTTTATTTCACTATCAGAAACACAAAATTCTTTGGTGGAAAAATAATAAGTTTATCCATGTTTTAAATGAAATATTTTTTAAAAAGGATGCTCATGTCTAACAGTTAAGTCTTTCCAAACATTTTTACTCTTGCCCACCACCACCCCCCCCAAGATATTTTGGCCAAATACAAATCAAATTTTCAAGCTCATTTGACCCAAAATTTCACCTGTGATTGAGAAACTTTCTTGTCCTAAATTTATAATGAAAGCAATTATTTTGCAACAGGTTAAACGTGATACTCACAGGTGTGTTTCCTTGTGTCAGGTGTTCAAAAACTGAATCAAATGCTTCTTTGAAATGTTCTTTCACAACACCTTTCATTAAATTGAACAACCAGGCTCTGTCATTGTCTTCCACTAGACGGTCATAGAAGACACGAAATACCTCATGGACAAACAGCCGAATCATTACATGTTTGTTTCCAACTGATGTTCTCTTAACGAGCAAGCAGCCATGGATAACACGTGCAAAGTCACGCAGGTTGAATGTATAATGAGATTTGGCTGGTGTGGGCAAAAGATTTTTGATGGCTTTCTTATACACCTGAGGATAATAACAACAAAAAAGAACAAAATCAACAAAAGAGTAACACCAACTATATTATTATAAATCTTAAATGTCTTCTAAATTTTGTTTCTCCACTTAATAAATCCTAATAAAGTCTAAAGATCTTGAAGTCCTCTGAATATATAAGATGCACCTCGTGCGGTTCTGGAATATACATGCACTCCTAACCTAAATCTACAAATGGGAAAAAATAATTGTAACAAGTGTAAAAAAATCTGTTGTAGGACCAAGAACACCACTCAGATCATAGAATCATAGAATGGTTTGGGTTGGAAAGGACCTTAAGATCATCTAGTCCAACCCCCCTGCCATGGGCAGAGACACCACACACTAAACCATGTCACCCACAGCTCTGTCCAACCTGGCCTTGAACACTGTCAGGGTTGGAGCATTCACAACTTCCTTGGGCAACCCATTCCAGTGCCTCACCACCCTCACTGTAAAGAACTTCTTCCTTATATCTAACCTAAACTTCCCCTGTTTAAGATCTCTTGACTTCCTTTAATTATATGATATCCACTTTCAAGTAAAGTATTGAATGATATGTAATGGTAACTTGATAGATTTTCAGTTGTTTGAATCTCTTTACTTGCACATTTACAAACTACTAAAAAATACATAGATACAGTAAAAATGCTGGAGGAATAGGCTGATCTAGAAAAGTGTCTTTTGACTATGTTTTGCTCTAATCTGGAATGCATCAGCTGCTATAAGCTCATTCTGTTATGACAGAAAGTGTCATTTCTAATTACGTTGAACCTAAGTAACATGCTGAAGTGAGTGATGACAGAGGAATCTTCTAATCTGTCTCTAAATACTCATAGATGAAGATAATCATCAAACATCGACCTGCTAAGAAAAATAAATAAAAAATAAAAATCGAATTTTACAGGCTGGACTATGTCCACTGTACTGACTACATGTTTCACCTGATGTACCATGTCCAAACCAGTTCCAAAGCCCAGTTCTTTTACCATACTTCAGCCCCAGGAGTTGGAGGGTATTGCTTGCCAGGATGAAAATCCATGTTAGAACAGATCTCTAGCAGGCAAATGTGTAAGAGTCTAACAGTATAAACAAGCTCTGATGCAGTCGAATGAGAAATACCTGGTTGACTGGATTAAAAGTTAACACTGAAATTGGTCTAAGATGTATCCTGGCAAAACTGAATGTTTTAAATACGTAGTCAGATGCATTCAAATCATTAGTAGCTGGTACTATAATTTTCTGTTTAAAGCAGCAAAAAGGTGGGAATTTCTTACAAATTACTTTTTTGTTTGTTTTGGAAGGATTCATCAAACCTACAAAAAAAGATTTCTAGTGGCAGAAGTCAGTCACTTGTGACTCACACATTGAATGTACTATCTGACAACAGTTCAGAAATACCAGCCCTGCTGGATTCAGTTCTAAGTATGCCCTCAGGCATAAGCAGAACTAGTGGAGAAGTCTGAGAAAGGCCTTGGTTCTGTAGTAGAAGAAAGCCCCATCCCCTGTGAAACTTCAGCTGTTTGATTTTGCCTTTGAAGCTCACCAGATTTGCTATCAGAATATTTCATTGGTCAAATATTAGCTACCGGATGCATTTCCATGGTGAATACTTATGGAAGGCAATAGATTTCTTCACACTGCTACTGATTTCTCCTATGTAATAAGCCAGCAAAGCTACACTTTGATATTGCATCTATAATTTAATGCTTCTTCAGAAAAATGTCATGAATTGCTATTTCTTATGTGTATGGTACATTGCAAATGTGATACTCGCTAAGATCTGCAACATGGAACTTCACAAAACATTCAGAAATTCCATACAGCTGGGCCTAGTGGCTTCCCATTTCACAACATGTCTGTGATGTCCTTTGTCATACTGGAGTCAGTCTACAAAGCTGCATGTTCACGTTGGCTTCCTTAGTCTGCTGAGATGTGTCCATAAGTAGCAAAAAACTGGGAAAGGAAGGAGGAGATTGAGAGCGATTTCTTCATTCCTAGTCTCTCTGAGAAGGAATTCTGGAAGGGTTGCAATCGATATTTTCACTTTGTCTTTGCATGTGACAGCTTCTCATGTCTGTTGGACCCCAAAAATATTCCAGCCTCATCTACTTGAAATTATGTGGACAGGTAGCATGGAGCCCACATTAACACAAATCCAAAGATAAATTTCCGAGAATAAGAAGTTTACTGTGACAATAAAACTAAGCTGATTTTGTCAAAGCAGATGAGGCTGTATATTAAAAATAATAAGGAACAAAACATCAAAAAAATCTCTACTTCACCAATTGAATTATTATAGAGACAGTTAAGCTTTACTGAAAACAATCAAGGAAATTTCAGTTAAGGGATTTGCCTCTTACCTCTAAAGTGGCAGTGACAATTTGATTTCCAATTGAGAAGTACTCGGAAGGAAACTCATTGCTGCGCAGGTAGAAGGCCACTGCAGTGGAGAAGATGCGGATCATTGTTTCATCGCTAAAGGAATTAATAGCACAGACATTGAAGTGTCGCAAAAATCGAGGAGTCACAGGATTCCTCCCACCACCTGGAGGCCCCATAGCAGCAAGAAGCTGTATGTCCACAAGTGTAAGTTTAGATGTATCCTTTAAATCATACCTGCAAAATAAATTGCAGTGTGACATTTAGTTACAGATGTAACACATTTGTTACTGCTCAGATGTATGTATTAAAGAGCACTTGCTGCATGCATAACATACCTACTTGAAAACAGAAACACTACAGCATGCATTATGTAATACTAGGGAGAATTTTAAAACATATTTTTAAAACAAACAACTGCCTCACTCCAACAAACCAAGAAAAAGTAGTCTTATAACTATGGGCCACTTCATCTCAACATACCATAGGCTGGCCTGAAAGAAAGTTGTTTCGTTTAACATAAAACGTGATATGAAAGTTTGAGACAAGTATTTAAAACTGTAATGTGGCAAGATAGATTATCTCTATTCAAAAGCAAACTGAGAAATTGTGATGAATAAGAGAATCTTGGAAGACAGTAAAGAAACCACTGCCATTAATAAAATAAAGTTTAATTTAACCACATATATATATAAAAATAAATAAATACATGTAAATAAAATTGCCAATTCACTCCGAGAAGGAAGAGACAGGAAAAGAACGAGGAATTGTGCTGGAACAATAATCTAAATGAAAAATGCAGACATAAAAGAATCAAACAGGTGTAAAGGAATGATTTTATCTATATATACAAATACTGCTGAAGTTCAGCAATAAGACCCCTGCTCATGGCAGGGGGTTGGAACTAGATAATCTTTAAGGTCCCTTTCAACACTAACGATTCTATGATTCATGCTATGAAAACAAATCCAAAATGAATCTAATGATCAGTTTCAGATTGAAAAGTCACTTAAAGAGCAACAGAGGAGTTGTTTCAACTTTAAATAATACAATTTTATATAAACCAAAGCTACCTGAACATTTACAAAGTACTTTATAAAAGTTTTGAAAATAAAATTCAATTGAATAAATAAGAGTGAATGCAGCAACAAAAAAGTTTGAACTGTATTTCAAATAATTACCAAAATCCATGGTCAAAGAACTGTCTTAAAAGTTCTATAGGAGGTTGTGCACCATACTTCTCCAAAGCAGGCATATTCATATCATCTACAAAAATAATGCACTTTTTTCCCAATGGAGGGCCAAAGACTCCTTTGCGTCTCTTGTCCAGCCTCGCCATAATAATGTTCTATAATGCAGAGAGGAATATCCAAAACATAGATTAAATATTCATGTATATTATCTTCTTGAAACATAAATTATCTGTTCGACTAACCTGGGTCTGATTGGCACTGGTTCGAGCTGAAAAATTTATGAAGAAGGGAAAGTAGCGCTCCTTTTCCAAGTTGTGCATTAACTTGTCCTTGACATACACAGATTTCCCAGTACCTGTTGGTCCCACTAAAAGCAATGGTCTTCACAAAGAAAGAAATAAAGTGTAAGAAATCTAACGAATTGCAGAAAATCTAACAAACTATACACTAACTGCAATTAGAAGACAAAGGTTTTACTAACTTGCCCTGCTTGTTCTACCTCTAAAAACCTTAAGAAAAAGCTCAAATGTTTTAACTTATTCATATAACCCTCCCATCGCTTCAGTTTGCTGTCACCAATAAGACAGGACAAAGAGAGACATTTCTCATTCCCTCATTCTACTGGCCTTGGAGAATGTATGGACACACATGGGAGTTACCTTCCCCCTGGCCTTGCAGTGAACTTCCAGCCTTGAAATCTAACCTGAGGCTGTTTTTTATTTCATTCTCTTATATGACCTGACCATAGTTAATACAACTGGTTTTGATGTTAAAAGGGGTGGGTGGGTGGTGGGTGGTGAATAAATGTATCTATGTATTTCATTACTGGGGAAGAAAGAGAATACAAAAAAACTCTTTGGGCTCTCATGATGGCATCACCAGAACAAGCATACTAAAACTGGATTAAAATAAGACTGCTTCATAAAAAGGAAAACATGAAAAAAAGGGACTTTGAGGCAAACTGTATTGTTTGTAGTAAATGTCTATTTTCAATAGGCTGAATATACTTTGAGGGCTTGATTTAAACAATGAAGTCAAGGGAAAGAATAAGAGATATTTCTGCCTAGGACAAACAGTTCAGAAATTTGCACTGAAGTGAACTTACTTTCCATAGGCAATGAAGAGCTCTAACAAAAAGGTGTATCGGACTGTATCCATAGTTGGGATTATAACATCTTGAATCTTCACATTTTTATCATCAAAATTAGCATTTTTAATAAGAGTATTCCAATGAACCCAAGATCCTCTGCCTTTCAACTAGGAGGAAATATAGATGTAAATAGAATGGTGTTACTTCTATACATATGAAAGGTTTCCTCTACTACTTCAGTTTTGAAAAATGAAAACAATGAATTTTAGTAAATTAATATTAAATGTTTCAGAAGTTCAGTTTGCTTTATCTCAGTAATAAAGTGTTAAAGTACATACCTAACCTTAGACTCCTTTTCGCTTTTTGTAAAAGATTTTGTTCAGCCAAGACATACAAAACCATAAAAGAACCCAACAGAAGAACATACGCAAAAAAGTGTAATTATAACCTAACATTTCTAATGGATACTATAAACAAAACTGTAACATAACCTAACTGCCCATGGGCTCAATATCCTGCTTTCCTTCTAGACAGTCTACATCTTTCCTTCTACATGAAACCAGATTTGAGTCTGTCAGTTTAGCTTTAGCTAGAGAATAACTATAAAGGCAATATTATAACTGATGTGTATATCTTGGTATTTTCTAAAAAAATATGGTCAGCACATTAGTATTCAAAGAAGAAAAATATGAAAAATGCACTGTGGGATTTAATCCAACACCAACATTTTACAACATCCAACAGACTTTGTAAAGTTAAAATACCCATGTGGCTGTTTTCCTTTCATTCATACCGTAAGAACCTACTTCAGTCAGTGCAAAGCAATCAATCATACCTCATACATGTAGTCATAGACCAAGCCTTTCTCTTCAAAGAAACACTCCCATTTTCCCACACTCTCTGGTACAGGATTTGTTTCAGATTTCCCAGCCAAAGTTTCCCTCAAGAAATTATCAAAAATTATCCTGCTGTCACCATCACAAGTTCCACCAATGGACCAGACTGTGGCAAAAGCAAAGCAACCCTGCAAGGGCAAAGAGATGAGCATCTACAAAATTGACATGTTATATGAACCTTGCACAGTCTGATTAACAAATGTAATTCTGAAAAATACTGTTAAGCAGATATGTGTTACAAGTTGCCCTTGAACAGACCTGGTCTAAAGAGATTTAGAAATCTATTACAGACAGAGCAAATAAAAACCTTATTCAAAGAGATATAGATACATAAATATATATGATTATAAAAAAAGAATAAAAAATAAAGGCCACTGACTAAGCTTTTTTTCACAAAGCCTGAGAAGAGTTCAATCATGTGGACTCAGGGATTTTCTAATCAAGATCTAGGAATTTTCTAATTCAATTTTAAATAATTACTTTTTACATTCAGGTTTTTTCAGTTTTTCATAAGTTCAGACAAAGCATCCAATTAATAGAACTGTCAGAAAACACTCTTCCCAAGGAAATTTTGCTCCAGCAAGCAAACCAATCAGTATTACATGAACGCTTACTGCCTTTAAGGTAAAAAAGACACTTTGTTTTAGCTAATTACTTGGTTAGTTAAAAAGCACATTTACAAAACCACTATTTATCCCAGTTGGTTGCGAAAACAGTAGAACATTAATCATATTTGTTACTTGTACAACTTGTGTTCATCTTGGCATGTTCAAAGTTTGGGGGGAAGGAACAAGGAGGTAGTGAAATTGTTTCACATCTCTTATTCCCAAATTAAAGTTGTTTTGATTAGTCTGATTATTTTTGAAAACCAGCATATTCAGAAGCAGACAGACATTTTTCTACAGGTCAAAAAACCGAACCATAATCCATGTACGGATGTTTCTGTTGGTGGGATCGTCTTGCACAGTTTTACAAATCAGCATTTCTAAAAGCTGTGTAAGAGCTACTACAGCATTGATACTGCTTGTAGGTACCAGCTCCTAAAAGATACAAAAAGATGGGTATTAGACTTCATGTGTTCAGTTAGTTCATCTTTTGGTGCTAAAGTACTGAAATAACTAGATAATTAGCTAACTCTGAACAAAGATTTGAAGGCCAGGTTTACACTGACTTTGATTCAAAATATCATTTCCCCCCCTCACCTTGAAAATTAAGACATCAAGCTTGTTAATCATGTCCACAGGTACCATATGACCCCTACAATCATATGTCTTGAAACAAAAAAACCCTCCACTGAAATAACTACAGCAATACAAGAGCAACAGCCTAAGGATTATACCACAGAGTTTGCAAGGAACTACATGTATGTTTCCCGTAACATAAAATACTTCCCTATTCAACATGATACCTTTAAAGAAAAAAAAAATGTCTAGGAAGACTTCTCCCACAGTGTTTTAAATACTTACTTTACTTTTGAAAAGAATAAGGTAACAACTATGATCAAATTACAAGTCTTACCTAAGATTATCATTTTAACTTTCCAAAATGGACCCAAGAGTTGCCCTCCTCGGAACAACAGGAGGCTGCTGCATATTCATTCTGAATGTGCTTGCCATGAGACAACAGTCCCTCCCTCCCAAGGGTAACAGAACGGAAATGGCCACCAAGCTTCTGCACGGAAAAATGGGAAAAAATACCTTGCACTGTTTCTGACGGAGTCTTAATGCTGGTGGTATTAACCAATCAAAAAGTCCCTGCAGAAGATCTTGGTGTTCCTTTAAGTTAAGAGGTTCAGGCAGCTTATTCAACCAAGATGTAACAAGTGGCTTCCAGCCTAGTTGAGAAGGTTCCAAATAAATCATGCCACAACGACTGACTGTAGCAGGCTAAAGCAAAAATATGAACTCATTTTATTATACATTTAATATATTGAACTTTGGTTTATGTTTTCATTAAATACAAAACTTACTGATGCCTGGGAAAGATCCATTGTTTCAAAAATAAGACTCATCTGAAGGGACATTTGAATGATTTCCCCACTCATCAAACAAAGCTTTAATAATAAAAAAAAAAAATAAATCAAAAGCAAGATTAGGAAAAAAAATTAGTTGTAAATTACATGTCCTACCACAGGAGAGTTCTAAATGAAAATCAGAAAAAGCAAGTATAATCAAAGGCAAGGTCAGCCACATAAAATGTTTCATCACTTGGAGCAACAATCAGTTTTTTCAAACTTTAGCTAAATTCTCACTTAAACCACAGTACTCCACATTATCCTACCAGTAGGTTCACCACAGGTAACTAACAATCTTGCATATTACAGGAATAAAGAAAAGACAGCAAGCAGAAAGGAGAAAGAGTATCTGCTGCTGCTGTTGTTAATACTGAAGCATTCCAGCTGGAGACCCACCATTCCTTCTTATTAAAAGTCCAGTCTGAGTATTTTGACACACCCACATCCAGAACAGAAACTTCAAATGTCGTCTCTAATTTTTATATTCACTTTGAGATTCCTAAGGCCCATTTTCAAAAGTGCTGTAAGGTCACTGTTTGCATTTGTGGTTTTAGATGTAAAAGAAGATTTTCAAAATGTCACATTACTTAGACATTTATTTCCACTGACTAATACCTTTTTGTTGTCATCCAAAACTGTGTTCATGCTTTCTATCCACAGAGTATCAATTGGGCCATCAAAGATAACCCATTTGCGTTCAGGAGTCTCAGATAATGCAAATTCTCGGAAAGTGTTAGCAACTATACCATCTGTCCACTGGAGGGGAGAACAGAGGAATTCAAAGACAGACATAGTATACAGAGTTCAATTTAAACTGCAAGTAACAGAACGACCTTCCATTTCTTTTCAGTCCTCTCTTAACTATTCTTCTATTGCTCTGCAGAGAGCAGAACATAACTTTGAAGCTTCACTGAGGGTCATGCAACATCAGCAAATTCTAAATTAGTGGTGTTTTCACTTTAAAAATTACTGTAACAAACAGAAAGTTACAATTTACAGAAACTCCGAAGTGCTTCTGCTCTGTCTTGCATCTGTTCTTCACCAGAGTCACCTGAAGTTTCACTATTTCATACTCTTCTTCATCGTTTCTTCTTCAAAATAAGGTTCACGCTTGGGGACCCAAGAGATCATAAGTTTTTCTAGATAGTTTTTGTACTACTTTGATTATACTGGTTAGAAATGGACAGAGAAATGAATATGGTTACATTTTGTCTCATTTCCTAGCATGGATGCAACTATATTAGGACAATGACCCTCAGAACGCTATTGCTTTTTTTTGCATATTCAAGCCTACATAACTTCATACACACGGTACTGCACATTTTATACACTAACTTAAAACAAGCCATAAAAGTATCAGTTAAAATAAAACCTATACTTGTATTCTTATCTCTGTTCATATAAAATTATGCATTCAATGGTTTACTATCCAGAATAATTGAGGTCTGATATCTAAAAAACAAAAGAAAAAAGGAAAGCACTAGAAATACTACAAAGCAGAAGATGGGATTATTAACTCCTAGTCTTAAACTCATACTGGTATGTTTGTTTCTTTTTCCTTAAAACCAAACCAGTAATTTAATTTATAGCACAGCCCTATAAACACTGTGTGGAGTCCAAGGAACGAATGAAGAAATGCTACCTGGAATTAGGACTTAAAAAACAGAAGCAGGAGCACTGTCAATTGCCCTTCCTGCCTCCTGAAAACAGCTGTGAATGACACCAGGAATTAACCTGAAGTTAGAACACACTTACACAAGTACACTCATACAAACCCCTGGAAAGCTACCACATGTGAGAGGAAGAAACAGATAAAGGTGTGCAATTACTACATGCTGTTTTTAAAACATACATTACCTCATGGGATACCAAATCAAACTGTCCAAAAAGCTGACCCATAGTGATTGACTTTGGATTCACGGTTCTAAAAATTACTTTTTCTTCTTCACCATAACCACGCTCTTTCATAAGAGACAGTGTATCTGCCAACACATGGAGAATTTTGGTCTTCCCAGAAAAAGGTTCCCCTACCAGCATAAAGCTGTTAGATGAAAAAAGAAAAGCTATTAATAAATTTGCCTCTCAATTTAGGCTTTTACAGACCACATGAAGGCCAATTGCATCATTCAGATGCTTAAAGCAGTTTTCCACCTAATTTTCAAAAAGCAGAACAATTAAATCTGACTTGTATATATGAAACATCATTTAGGCAAACCCAGTTCATTTGTACATGTAAATCTGACTGCACAGCCACTGTACACAAGTTGTCCTCTAAAACAGATGTACTGCCACGCTAGTTCATTTGCAGAATTAAAGATTAATTTCTAGTTTCTTTTCAGTCTAGTACAAGTTTATAACAGAGTTCTGGAAGAATACACATAGTAAGAACAGTAAGAAAAACCATCGAACAACCTTTCTTCATCCATATTTTAAAATGGCTTTTTCAGTCACCCAGCAGAGGGATGCAACTGTAACAATGTCACACTGGAAAAAATAATTAATAAGCTGAATATTAGCAATCATATGGCCAATGTCGTATTGTATTTATTTTCTCCACACAGTTGCTATTCAGTAATACAAGCTAGGAAGAAAATGGCAGAGATAGATCTGATAACTAATATTTCAAACCAAACTTCTGGAGTCTTAAGACCTCATGGAGCTGTTGAAACAAGACCAGAGAAGGCCACGAGGATGACATGGGGCTGGAGCATCTCCCATACAAAGGGAGATGACAGGCTGAGAAAACTAGGGCTGTTCAGCCTGGATAAGAGCAGCTGTGTGGAGACCTCATAGCAGCCTTCCAGTATCTGAAGGGGACCTACAAGGATGCTGGGGAGGGACTCTTCATCAGGGACTGTAGTGGTAATGACAAAGGGTAATTGGTTTAAACTGAAACAGGGGAAGTTCAGGCTAGGTATAAGGAAGAAGTTCTTTACTGTGAGGGTGGTGAAGCACTGGAACAGGTTGCCCAAAGAAGTGGTGAATGCCCCATCCCTGGCAGCGTTCTAGGACAAGTTGGACAGAGCCTTGGGAATGTGATCTAGTATGAGGTGTACCTGCTTACAGCAGGGAGGTTGCAACTAGATGATCTTAAGGGCCTTTTCAGCCTTAACTATTCTATGATTCTCTATCTGCACCTAAAATCATTACACAGGTGAGGCTACTTCTGATATCAAGAGTTGTACGATTCCCCAAACATACAAGAATCTTGGGACATGTAAAAGTAGTACTGGTGATCAACTGTTTCAACATAAACAGAAACATTTTGCCACCCTTAGGTCCACTTATACTTGAAATAAATAACCACTATGGTATAAGCTAAAATTACAAAAAATGCTTCCTGTGAAAGAGTAATGAGAATCTTACCCATGTCGAACAATCATCATTTCATATGTCTGTATCATTTTCTCTAAAAAAGTTTTTACAGGTTGGGCATTATGTCGAATGCAACATTCGTTGGCACATTCCAGAAAATCCTAAAATCAAAACAGATTGCAATCTTATCGTTCCTACAATTTACATTTCTGTCTTCGACTACAGTAGAACAGTTTATGCTCCTATTTATCTAATTTATTAATAAGGGTTTCAAAATAATTAATAACTAAAATACTATTAACCAGAATATAGCAAATATCCCCAGAAAGAAAAAAACAAAAATCACTTCTCCACTTCATATGCTACATATGCTGGAACAAGGGTTAACTATGGTTTTGGTCTTGAGTCAAAGGCATATCACCATCAGGAAACCAACAGTGTGCTTTGGAACAATATGCTTTTAACAAGACTCTAGTATTTACTGTAAATTTTTAAAGTTAATCATTTTGTCTTTTCCAACATGCTCATCTTCCCAACACCTCCTGCAAAGGAGCAATGTTTTAATTGTCGTATAAACAAAAGAAAGTACAAACAGAAAGCTTAACCTCACTTGATTATGTCCAAAAATTAGGAAAGAAATCAGCTAAAGACCCTAAAATTTGGTAAACCTGCAGGTCAATTTTGGATCTGCAGGGTGTCTTACACAACCCTTCTGGATGTAAGGGAACTCAGATATGGATTATACTCAGAACAGAGACAAGAATTTTCTTTGGTACTACAACTCATTGCAAATGTTCAGTAATTTTCCTTAACTTGCAATAACTCACAAATTACTGTATTAATTACCATTGGTTAAAACCAAAACAACCCACAATGATTATGGCCAAGAAAAAGTTACACGCATACTCACAGCATAGTCTGCTTCAGGAAGCTCAATTCCAGGAAACAAATCACTAGTTATACCCATGAACAGAGGTATATCATGTGACAAAAACTTGGGCTCATTCACATCCTTAATTGATCTCAGAAGCTACAGGAAACAAATCTACATTTTACTGTTCTTATTAGAAACACAGAATAAACTGTACAGCAAATAAAATAATCTAATATATAATAAGAATTAATTAATTAGATGGTGCCTTCAATAGGCAGTTAAGCACAACTGTGATTCACTGGAAAGCACAGCATGTATTCTATTATCTTCATTTCACAAAGAAATGTTGATCAGCAATGTGACACGATGTGGTGGAACTGCCTTCAGAATTCAGACCTCCATGCATCTGTAAAATTCCTTAGGAATTATTCCCTCAGGAACTCACCAGTATATCTTCATCTTCTGTGGGAAATTTGAGTTTTAGATTCCCAGCAGCCACCAACACAGCTTTAACTGCTCGCATACCATAGTCATAGTGATACTGAGAGGAAAGCTGTTCTGAACAAAGCCTGTAGGTCATGACTATCTTCACTGACAGTGACTTAGCATTAAAAAATCCATATGAATAGAGTGAAATTTCTGCTATCAGAGCATAGTTCGGAACCATCATGGCAACTGTTCGGAAAAGAACCTGAAATACAACCCACAGAAATATTGTTAAATGATTTATTGAGGAATGGAAAGTAAATCAGAACTTTCACAGGTGATGGATCATACCATTTCTAACTGAAAACAGTAATAGCATTTTAAATGAAGTACTGCTTAGCATGATTAGGTAAGCTGTGGATTACTTAAAACAGTTACAGTGGAAAGCAGTGGCCTGCAGAACATTTGGGAGCCAATGAAATAGAGGAATTACCAATGTTTGCAGCTTATAATTCACTAGGACGCTAATACAAGCAAGCTACCATCAAGATCCACCTCAATGAACAATCTGGTGCAGAAAAGCGCTGTTTCTCCCAGCTCTTTTCCCCCATCATTGTCTCAAGAATGCAGTGCCTTACATGGATACATCTGACATAGCAGAAAGCAAAGGAAGGGGTTGCACATAGCAGGTGAGAGAATACACTTCCTTCCTTCAAGTAATCTGCAGCTGGTAATACTCTTCACATCGCACTGACTCTGCATTGCATTCACAGCATTTTTCCCACTGTGGCAACTTTCTCTGGCCCAGTAACTCTGTGCCATGTTGAGGCTTAAGGAACAGATGCTGTTCCAAAAGGTTCCGGATTACTTTGCTAAAGCCAAGCTTCCTCAATGAAACAACAAACCTAGTCAAAACAATCACCTCAAAGATTTTATTTGATCAGGTAATCTAAGCAAAATCATTACATGTATTAAATGTAGTTTGCTAACACCTCTTAAATAAGACTACAATAAATATAATGTAAAAATACTTTCTTAAAGCATTTTTTCCAACACAGCCCTCCATCTTAAAAAAGTTAGCATCCAATCTTATAATCTACCCCCAGCCTGACACATTACAGCCTTTGGCCTGGAAAAATAATCATGAAAACCACTAACAGACACAAGAAAATTAAAAACTATTTCTAATTACTTCAAAAAGAACATAGTACTTGGGGTGGGGGGAGAGGCCTAGTGTGTGTAAATCACGTAACAAGTATATGTGTATATTCCAGGTGGTACAGCTGAACTAACACCAGCAATATACGTCCCTCAATTTTTTTGGAAGGAATTCATTCTTAAGCAGAAGTATGTACATTATTATTTTACCTTCAGATTATCTGGAAGTTCAGAACGTCCTGCATAGCCTGGATTCATAGTAATAGCTACAAAACAGTTGGGATTAAGTTTCAGTTCTGTTCCTTCAAAAATAAATGTTTCTAGCTTCATCTGTATAGCTCTCTGGATGCACAGGATCTGCTGTGCTACGACAGACAGTACTTCCAGTTCAATGCGATTGAATTCATCAAAACATGCCCATGCACCTGATGAAGCCAAACCCTTGAAAAACTGCAAATGAAGAAGCACAGCAATAATATCACTAACAGAAACTTAGCAGATTCAGAAGAAACTAAGAGTATCATGTTGGCAGTTTAATTACATGGGAGATACAATTATGATAATAGTATCTAAGCTGGTTTAGAGCGAGGATCAGTGATGTACTGAAGAACAAAGTCTTTTTTTGGTTCTAAAGAAAGTTAAATCAGAAGATTCTGATCCTGTGAACTCTTGTTTCTTTCATGTTTTAATTAGCAACTTAATAGGGCTTCATAAAGCACAGAAAACTAAACACATGTAGAGACCAGTATATAACATCCAAGGGTAGCAGACCACAGCTGCCACATTTATTTAAGTGGCTATGCAAAGCAGGGACCCTACAGTTTTCATCCTTAAAAACAAAATACAGAATGCATTTATTTTCTGTTTACCTTTCCCATTGCCAGGTAGTCGAGGCCATCAGAGCAGTTGAAAACAACACATTGAACAGCAAGAGCCTTAGCCAAATCCTTGGTAGTCTCTGTTTTGCCTGTCCCGGCTGGACCCTCTGGGGCACCACCAAGGTTTAAATAAAAGGCTCCAATCTAAGAAACAGAGATAGTGTACAGAAATTATTCATACTTCATTCATATAAAATTATTCTGAGTGGAAATGTTAACTTAAATTGCACTAGAGAGTTTCATACTGTTGTTGTACCTGACATAAAAAAATAAATAAATAGATATATTAATTAAAAAAGCTGAAATTTACTTACAGCTTGGAAATTGAATTTTGACCGTAAAAGAGAGTTCAATTTTATTATCATCATGACCATGACTGCTTACTCAAACTCTGTTCTTGCTTAGATACATCTTTCAAATTAAATGTGATGCAGCAACTTGGTTGCTACTCTTTTTTATCTGTTTGTCCTTTTCTTTCCTATGCTGTCCCCTTTTTGTTGCATGTGTGTTCTACTGACCATTATATATTCCCTCCTATATTCCACTGAAGTAGGAGTAACATCTGACAGAAGACAATACAGCTTCAGACTCTAAACAAAACCTCAGATGTATCTGGCTTCCAAACCACAGTTACAGGGCCACAACTATATCGACAAGCACTGGGAATACTGTTTTAAGACCTTGTGGACAAAGGATATAACCTCCATTTGCCAGAATGCCAGGCTACCAACTGCTTTGCTCCAAGGTTCAAGGTCTGTAAGCCTAAAAAAGAAACAGACTACCATCTGCATCTCCTGCTCACACCAATGTACCCTAATGTTTTGATAAATAGGTACTGAGCAGCAGCTACAAACATGCCATAAAAATTGGAAGCTATGAAAAGGGCAAAGAAAAAAGTATCTTCAAATGCATCAGTCAGGTCTTTTTGACCTTTTCTTTCTTAAACCTTACGGAATTTGTGATTAGGTCTCCACAGCATGAAAATTACCATCTTAGAACAGGAGGAAGATACGTGTGTAGTAAAACTCCAGCCAAACAAACTGCAGTATAGTCAGAAAAGCCATATCTGAGATGACTTTGATAACTTTCAGTTGTCAGCTTAGTTGAGGATAGACCAGTACAATAATCAACATCGCTAACAAGAGCAGGGACACTAGAAAATTGTCAAACTCTTGTACTAGTCTTAGGAACAATACAATCACAAGTTGATCCTTCTCCACTTTATTTAGCAATAGCGATCATCAGAAAAGGATTTTGTGTTCTTGTAATCTAGACAGCAATAAAAATATTGGGGTGTTTTTTTCTGTTTGTATTTTAAAGATATCCACAACAGAACAATACACTAATATTTCAGTCAAGTTGGTGAGCTGTCCAGATTTGTTGTTCTAAGTCAGTTTTGCATTCAATATTCTATAGAAACTGCAATCCTTGAAAACTGCATTTTAACAGAAATACCTAAGTCTGACAGCAACTGCAAGCTCAAAAAGTATGGCTGTAATGTATGGCTAAGAAATACTATAGTAAATACAGTATTCAGTAGCACTGGTGGAAGATCATACCAAGGTGCGGTAACACCTGTCTGTAAGAGGAGTGATGACAAGGCGTGGTGAGTTTCCGAGGTATTCATAGGCATATTTGACATTGCAATTAATGATGCAGACACGAGCATTCTCACATTGCCAATAATATCTTAGTTGTGCAAGCCACTGGAAGTCTGTTTCACATGTCACGCCTGACAAACACAGAATTGAAAGCAATCATAGAAAGTGTTCTACGTAACTGGATTTTCTATTAGGTTTAAATTTAAAACAGCTTTGAAATGATTAATGCTGATGCTCACATCCAAATCCTTGCATATCTATCTTAATACTGCTGTGTTTTAGGCAGCAAAATCAGATTGGTTAGCTATTTTTAATAAACTATGTATTAAGGAACATGTGAAGAAAAATGCTTTAACAGATAATTACCACTTTCAATCATATCCCCGACGACATCTCTAGCATGAACATCAATAGTAACCAAGGCACCCAGGGTAGTCCTTGTTTGCTTTGACAATTTGCCTCTTACCAGCTCTACAATATCATTAAGCTGAAGCTGAAGTGTGTCATAATAATCCTTTAAACCCTAGGAGAAAAAAGGTAATTATGAAACTGATTATGTGACAGTTTCAAGTGTTCCAGATTTCTTCATGCTGACTAAGCATGAAGAGATTGCTATTAAGCCATTGAGTCTATGGAGATGGCTTATTAAGCCATTCTTTTACATTGTTTTATTGTTACAATGTTACAATTGTTACATTGTTTACAATGTTTTTGCATCAACTTCTAATTCACAGTTATGCATTTATGTTGCAAAGCTACATTTTAATCTATACTTGCTCTAAACAAGAATATTGAAGTACCTGAATCAAAGGTATAAATCACTGTACATAAACTCATATCAAACTCATATGGCGATCCTTTTACAAATTTTATTTTGGTTGTAGAAAAAATATTTGATTAAGTAAAATACATTAGATGAAATGAAATAAAATTTATAAAGTTTTTTTTTTTAAAGATAATGCATTACAAAATACCTCTGGTCCATTGCAAAGAACTTCATGTACCTCACTTGTCCAGAACATTTGAGACACACACAATACTACTTGTCCAGGCCATTCCAGAACCCATCTTTTTCTCTCAGTCTCTATATATGCCTGAGTTAAACACAGTATACAAATACAGTGTCAGTGCACATATATTATAATGTAATATAAAAGCATACAATGGGATCCTATTAATATCCTTGGCTAAAAAATATTATTTGCCTATTTCCAAAGTCAAAACAAATTTTTAAATGCTCTTTTTGCCTTGGATTTGCAATATGACATCAAATAATTTTAAAGATTCTTGTCATTATCTTTCCTTATTATGTAAATATTCACAACTTCCTAACTTCACACAAAGAAACATTTTCTGGCTAATGATTTTTTTTAGGAGGGAGCACATGTAATACAAGTGTTGCATTTCTAACTTGTAATTAAATAAAAAAACCCTAAATAATTTTTGTTGGGTGACATACCCTATAAACACAGTATTGCTGCCAAGCTTTTAAAAGAATTTATATTTTAAAAGAATTTATATCCAGCGCTAGAGGAAAATGGCTTGATTCTTATTCAAACTAAACTCTTACTTATCTCCCTGGTCTATAACTACAAGTCATGTTATCCTGGTCCCATAATCTCATCAACTCTTGTGTTGAGAAGAGAATAGACAGCCTTACAATAAAAAAGGCCTATTTGTGCCACAGTTAATTGTTACAAACACCATACCATTCTTGATCTAGCAATAACATCATGTATAGTCTTCAGCATAACATCTTCTACTTGAATTAACCACTTCTCCACTGCACCTCGAGCTTCAGAAGTAGAAATATTTGAAATCAGTTCCACGCGCTCGCCTTCAGAACTATACATTGCTTTAATATCCAAATTGGGAAGGAAATCTAGTTTAGCAATGCCTTCAAAACACTTCTTCAAGTGAGGCTGAACTCTGAGAGGATCCTTAGTCTCCGACAGGATCTCCAACATTTCGTCATTAGACAAGAAAAAGAAGCTAAAAAAAATAAATTTAGCAAAACAAAAAAGCCAACTGTGTTATCCAGGTCTCTTAAAGGCTGACCTTATCACAACAAAATAAACATTCAGATTTGTTTCTTTTTTTAAATAGCCCAAACTCATCATACCGGGGAAAGAAAAGACGTTTTTTCTCAAGATAAGCATTAAGCCCTTTCATGATTTTGTCCATAAGCTCATTAGAGTTCTGAAGCTTCTCCAATAATCCAACCAAAGAAGTAACAACGAGAACCTGTAACAACATGCACCAAATTGTAAGTTATAAATAAGATACTTTAAACCATAGAAGTTATTCAAATAATGTACAACAAGCTGAGGCAACTGATGTAGTAGAGCACTGTATATATTCTAAAAGCAAAAGCACTGACCAGAAGAGAGAAGCTACTGTTCCCTTTTAGTGCTGTATATTTTCCTTACCTTTGGGTCTTTGGCACAATGCTTCATAATATCTTTCCAGTGTCTATCCACAGTCTGAAAGAGACGACCCTCTTCTGGCATCTGTTGCATAATATCCTCAGAAGAAAAAATGGGCTCCAAATACAGCCACTGTGCTTGAACTTTCAGCCATTCATCAGTAATGTCCTGAATTTGAATTAGGCGACTTTCCCATTCCTTAGTAAATTTTTAAAGACTGTTACCATAACATTACCTTAATAGTGCTATGATCATTTAACAACTTGATGGTTAAGCAATACCCAGGAGGCTAGCAGTGACAAATTCTGTTTCATCTCCCCACAGCTCCTGTTTTGCAGCTGAATTACAGCAGGGACACACGAATAGCAGGAAGGCCACACTAGATCACAGCAGAGATCCAGCCAGCCCAGTATCCCACCACTAAAGTGGACAATAGAAGATACCTCTGGAAAAGGCTGGAGAGGCTGCCTATAAAGGGTAAATACTATCTATGTTCACTGAGCCTGCTTTAACCTAAAGATTTTCTATGTAAACCAACAAAGAAATAGGGAGGGTAACAGCAGAGCAATTTCACCAGCTTCTCTCCTGTCAGTAGTAAAGGTGTTGGCACCACAAAGACTACTCTAGACCCCTGCAAATACAAAAGCAAGTGTAAAGTGATCCCATCTTTGTTCAGAGGCCTGAATAAAAAAAACATTCTCCCAGCCCTCAAGAAGTTTCCTTGCCCAGATGAAAACACTATATTCAAAATTTGAGTCCAAAACTCAATGATTAAATCACTAATTGTTATGAAAAATTATAAAAATCATTATGAAAAATAATAAAAACATAATTTTCAGTTATTGAGAAGCAATGTTGAAGACACTAATCAAAATAGTGATTTTGTAAAACATATGAAAAAAATGATCACGTTCTCTTGGTTGCACTTAAATCTGAATGGAATTCCAACACAGAAATAAAGTAAGTAGGACTTATATGAACTTAAAAGAATCTTGCTGAAAATCAAGCATTTCATTAACAAGTCAGGTAATAAAGCTGCAATACAATTGGCATACACTGGCATTATAGTTAACCTGCAAACAAAAATGGTTAAAAAAACCCCGTACACATCATACCCTGATTTCTGTGTCAAATGCTTTGATGAAAGGTGATCCTCTCATTGTCTGAGTTTTCATAATCTGATCGTCAAGAATAGCTTGAATCTCATCCACCGCAGACAGAATATGAACACCAGTATCACGATACAGATTTGTACTGAAGTAAATCGAGTCCCAGGTTTCCATCATGGCATGCATTGCTTTCTCTAAGGAAAATTCCTACAGTTTAAAAAGAAAATAGCTCATTTTAGTCACTGCATTATTTTTTTCCAGCTCACTAATTCAACACATAGGTGTATCTAGCTGAATAAGCTATTGTACTTCTATCAGCATAAGTTAACTTCTTGTTATTATTCATTTTAGTGTATCATTTTCTAGTGCACAGAAAGCACTCGGGAAATACTAATGATGCAACAGGAGATACAAATGTTTACACACTCACTTTTATAATCTAATGGCCAAAGTCTCACCAAATTTCTTTTGTTGCAGAAGGGTAAAGACAAAAAAAAATCTTGAAAGCAATGAAAGCCATCACTAAGAGACCTGATGTCACATTTGTCACTATTGAACCTCTCTCTATGCTTACCTTGGTTGCAGCTACACTTATAGTTGAAAACGTTTCCAAATAAGGTTCTAGATTCTGCTTTAAAACTTTTCTCAGGGTAGTTCCAGAGTCTGGTGTTAAATCATATCCTACTATATTTGACATCTGCTGCCAATGACGAACTTTCATGCCGGGATTACAAAAGATAGTCACAGTGGGAATGTTTTCCTAATTAAAGAAAAACATTTATAAGGTAAAAATTGTGGTGTGTATTATTTCTTAACTTTTTAATCCTCTTTGATGCACACTTAATACTCTGCTGCAGTAGCTGATGACATGAACATATTTTCTGAGAAGTGCAGATGGCTCCATTCAGTTCCCCATTCCATTTCTAAATAACTGTAGTCAGTTACTGAAGAAGAAATATAAAACTATTAAGCATAGTATTAGCAGAAAAGTATTGATTTTTCAGCTACATTATGTTAAACTGGGCTGCCATTAACATAAAATCTAAATCCCATTTCAAAATTCCCAACTATATCCTTAAACGTTTCTCTGCATTGAAAAACTACTTTTCTCCTTTATATGTTCACTGTTTAACAATTCACATTCTAAAAAGATATCTAAAATATCCAATTTAATTAAAATGAAAGGGACAGTAAAATCTGGAAATGGTGATTCAGATCTCTCTCTCTGTAACAATAGAAGTCTCTGACACTGGATCATGCATCCTGACGTTTGTCCCTCAGCACCAAATATTAATACCCCTCACCTTTTCTTACCTTAAAATCTTTAATTTGCTCCAGAACAGAAGTACACATTGCAATAGCTGGATTTGCTTTTGTTTCTCCTCTCTTTTCTTCTACAGGTTTGCGCTGTGATGTCTTATCCTTCTCTTGTTGCATTTTCTTCTGCTTTTGTTGGAAGAATCTTGACATTTTGTATATCTCTCTAAAAAAGTCATCAGCCTCAGACTCCATGCTTTCCCCATTTAGTTCCATAAAGGTACCATCCATCCATCTGGGAAAACCCACAAAGTTAGAACAACAAATGAAGTCCAGAAATAATTAGAACTTTGTTTTGCAATACAAACAAGATGTAGATTTATAGTTATTTAAATTAGACCAAAGCTCTTGTTCCCAATTATTTTCATTCTGTGCAAAATTCTAAGGCCCAACTAGAGGTGGCTTGATCACACTCTTCTGTGTATTTGTGTTATTCTCTGAAGTCAATTACATACTGAAACCAAGTAACTGCATGGACTGAAAAATATTATGTGGGTTATCTGTATCTCTGGATACAGATCAACATATGACATCAAAATATACTAGGCCTTTGTATTTTCAAAACAATACATACTTCCTAGCCACATCATGCTATAACTTCTAAAGAATGAAGAAACTGGCAAATAATCTCACTTATCTTAGACATACTACAGTTTTCGTGACAGGATCTAGCCACCAGACAGCAATGTAATCTGTTGAGCACATCTACATGGCATTTTGGACAGCTGTTAGGTTCAAAATGGTTTTCATTACATACAAATTACGAGTTTTCTAATTGAGTTTGTTTCTGGTCTGGTATATAAAATGGCTTATAACACATTTCTTTCACAGAGTTCCTCTTATTATAGGCTTCACCAGCATGACCAATAAAGTTAGAACCCGGTATGCAATACACTTCTTTGCATTTCATTAAAAAATAAACCAACTGATATTTTTTCTAGCTGAATTAAAAATAATAACCCTGGCATGTAATTTTTATTACTATTATACTTGGATTGCTAATAACAAGTAGATGTTTCTAAGAAAACAAATCCATATTCTACATCTGACATGAACAAACCCAGCATGAATATTTTCCTGCTCTCCCTCATTTAGCTTCAAGAGCTAAATTACCTTTTTTCTGTTCGTTGCCATTTCAGTATAAGATGAAAGAGTTTCTGATATGGTTCAATCTCAGTTTTTAAAATTTTGAGGGCTGGAAATTCACTCATTTTCCATTCGAGCAGAGTCTCTTCTTTATTAATTATAGCTATTGTATCATCAGCCTCCTGTATGCGTTTCTGTAACATCCTCACATCAGCCACATACTGAAATAAAATAAACGTATGTCTTGAGAGATAACTAAGTTATGCTCTGAACAGTTATCAAAATAAGATATCCAAATATAAAAAGCTTTTGTATTTATTAAAATTTAAGAAAACATGAGTTAAAAAGTTGTCATCTTACCCTTCAGTAGATAAACTGAGAAGAACCCAAATTAACACTAAGAAAAATAAAGTTGGTTTTATCATTATTGAATTTAAGAGTAAAAAACCATTTTTAAAATGTTGGAGCTGTAACATTCACTGTTCCAGGAGGCAGGCATACACATGTTTATGTACCTGACATGTCATAAGGGCAATTGGGATTTATTACCTTAGGATTTCTGTTTTGTGCTTTGAAGTATTTTGGTTTTAGAAAACAAAATTTGTAAGCACAACTGAGATGTTCTTCAAGTGCAAGATATGCTTTGGTGATTGTAAAATACTCCTAGAAATGTGCAAAGTTTTGGAGCCAGTGGCCTGCTCTTCATTAGCATAAAAATGAAGTTTTGAGGTTTGTAGAAAAAAAAAGGAAAAAGAAAAGAAAATCAAATTGCTACCAATCACTCTTTCTAACCCACTATTTTCTCCTTCAGTTCCTCAATATATTAAAAACAGGGAAGGAATTTCTGATCTTACTGATGTTATTTGCAATTAATGTCACTGGGGCCAGAATTCCATGCTTTATATAAACCAGAGTAAAAAACCTACATTCACTTCTATATGTGTAACATCTTAGTGCTTGCTGGGATTACCCATCAGGTAATCCAAGCACAACTTTACAGTAAACTTCCCCCAGTCTGCCAAATGTTACTGCCAATGTAATACGTAAGGGGTAGGAGGCAGGATTCATTCTCTGAATTTTTTCATTGTGGCAAGAAGATATTAGATGGTTTAGTTCATATTTATTAACATAACTGATTACTTTAAATTCTAGGTTTTTTCCATGATCCCTGTGTATTCAATATACAAAACATTTCTGTGTGTTTTACATTAAATGTTAATCAGACCTGTTGCATGCGATGCAGTTCTGAATACTCTTCAAACTCTGCCACAGAATGCGTCAGCTTTTCTAATTCCATCGCTAGTTTCTCATGTTTCTGCATTAGTTCTTCCTCTCCTTTACGTTTAGACTTTTCAATCAGCTGCAAAACAATTGTGGGTTTTTTAAATGGTAAAAACGCAACACAAAAGCTGTTTTAAGTCCTGCCAATAATTAACATACACAGTACCATCTAAATTAAATACTTAGCACAAACAGACCAAAAATAAACAATCCAGATAAGTTATTATCCTCACAACAGTTGAAATTACTACCGGAGTTGCTTTCTAAATGTCACACTTAAGTGTGTGCAACACCTATATGTTAACATGGAACCCTTATCTCAGTAATCATAGCAGTTATGATTGCCTTGGAGGCCTCCTGCAGCAGTCAGACAAAAGATAGGAAAGTATCACAAAAAAAAACCAAACAAAAAACCCCCAAAACCATAGATTCTCATCTTGTTAGTTCTTAAACATTTTTATAAGAAATTATTAAAACTACTCTAAATTACTATAAAGAGGCAAGAGCCTTGAGTCAAGCCTAAAGGCTTGACTTAACCATCTCAGCCAGACAGAATGAATGCTAGTGAAATGAACAGAGAAGCAGAAGAAAATAATGTACAGTCACACAGAGAAAACTAGATGTTGCATATTTTCTATTAATGACAGCTACCTCAAAACCACAATGCCTACTGTTCTTTTATTGAGAGAACAAAATATCATTTTAACTAAATGACTTCCTGTCCAGAGCACTAATTCTTATTATGGCCTTATTATGGCAATCATATTTTCAGTACTAGTCAACTGCAGCGTAGCAAATTTTCATCTTCCTATGAATTACCTAGTACTGACCACAAACAAATTAGGATAATAGTAAGACCTGATGAAGGTTTTAAGAAATTACTCCACAGAAAGCCCTCTACTGATATAAAAAAATCTGGAAATATATTATTTATGAATGTCTAAGTTAGTATGATTCACGTTATATGTGTAGGTACATTTAGCCTGCTAAGGAAATTAATAGCTCATGTAATGTAAAAAATCTAACAAGTTAAAATATACCATAAACTAAGAAAATGCTCTTACATCATCATGCTCATCAAAAATAGGGTCAATCCTCTTTGGCCATAATTGAACTGTTGCATTCAGTGCAATGTCTTCAGGAGCAAATAAAAAAACATCTAAGAAGTAATCCAACTGCTGAGAGCACTTCTGTGAAAAGAGATTTCACAAAACTTTAAGTCTCATAGATCTGTTAGAATACAGGGTAGGACAATGTTATCTAAAAAGATAAAACATAAGTGTACATTTCATGGACTTTTCAGAATTCAGAGCTATTTCAGCCAACCGAATATTAATTTTCAAAATACATATTTAAAAAATATTCAAATATCTGCCCTGTTCATCAGCTTATTTCTCTAAATATGATTCCTGTGGCCTGTAAATCTACATGCAAAAATCCTAATATTATTAAAAACATAAACCCCATAAATTTTTCAGAATAAAAGTGTTATATTTACCGACCTATTAGCATAACAGAAAATCTGATACATATCATCACAACATATAGCAAAGAGCTTCTTATCCAGTAATGTTTTTGGCTGACCCATACCTTACACAGTTCTGTTCTGTGAGCACACACAAAGCACTACTGCTAATGTAACATCATCTATATTCTGCTCAAAGAGTAAATTGCTTCTTGTGTGCTCAAAGTTATGACTGGTTTTACACATAATATTCTTTTACACTTGTGTGTTACATTTTCACAAATAGCTTTTTAAGCAGCTATGAAGTAAGCCTCTAGGTACGAGCAACAAACTGAGTGTCTTACAATCTGCTATGATTTATTAAAAGCTGCATTTCCTTACCAACATGCAGAACACATGGGTGTGGGGAATAAGAATGAAAGGCATATGGCAAAGAATGAGCTGGACTTCCCCATTTGGTCTGAAGTAACACTGAGGATACAGTTTACCTATACCTGCACCATGATCAGACAAAAGTCTCTGCAATCCAGAATGAATTCTATATTTGTACAGGCCAGAATGTTTGGTAAAAGATTAAGAATCAAAAGAGTAATTTACCTTGATCCTTAACAAGAGGTCCTTAGTATCTTTGGCTTTGACATTCTTTATGTAAGCTACTGTTGCCACCATTTCTTCTGTTGTCTCAGGAACTTTTAATGCACGTTCCTTAATGGCTTCAAATTCCCTGCATATCCTATAGATTTATTTTACACAAATATCAAAACGTTAAGGTTTGAGTTTGACTGGCTTCAAGCTCAACTTTAATGGAATTAAAAGTTCAAACTACTTCTTTAACTCCCCCCACACCAACTCTGTTACTTTATGAAACAAAATAGGGAATATGACCAAGCCAGTCTAGAAAAATACTGTTTCTTAACTTGCAACAATTGATTTGTTTGGATTCTGGGGTATTGTTTTGCAATCAATATTTCAATTACTTTTGGTAAGGACATGAACCTAAGTACAGTATCACTGGCATACACACAAACACTTTCATAAATATTTTGTCATTGTGGTAATATGGAATCACTATAAAATTTGAATATAGTTGTTCATTTTAACCAAACAACTTAATATGACTTCACTTACAATTTAATCCATACCTGAAAATTAATGTCCTGTTTAATTAATTTGATATCCTTCTATGCTAAGGTCACCTGCCTAGTGGATGAAGGGAAGGCAGTGGATGTAGTTTTTTCTGCATTTTAATAAGGCTTTTGGTACTGTCCTTCACAGCATCCTTCTGGACAAGCTGTCCAGCTGTGGGGTGAGTGGGTTCACAGTGTACTGGATAAAGAACTGGCTGAAGCACAGAACTCAAAGGGTTGTAGTAAACGGGGCTACACCTGGCTGGCAATTGGTCACCAGTGCTGTTCTCAGGGCTCAGTTCTAGGGACAGCTCTGCTTTATACATTTATCAACAACCTGGATGCAGGAGTTGAATGCATCATTAGCAAGTTTGCTGATGATACCAAACTGGGAGGTGCTGTTGACTCTCTCGAAGGATGGGATGCCTTGCAGAGGGATCCAGACAGACTGGAGCACTGGGCTATGATTAATGGGATAAAACAAGTCGAAATGATGGATTCTGCACCTAGGATGGAGTAATGCCAGGCACAAGTACAAACTGGGAGAGCATGGGGAGCAGCCCTGCAGGAAGGGATCTGGGGTTGCTGGTGGGCAGCAGTCTCAGTATGAGTCAGCAGTGTGCCCAGGCAGCCAGGAGGACAAACCGCATCCTGGAGTGCATCACACACAGCTTAACCAGCCTGTCAAAAGAGAGAATTATCCCGTACTCAGTCCTGGTGCAGGTTCAGCTGGAGTACTGTGAGCAGTTCTGGGCCCCAAAATTTAAGAAGGATGGTCAGGTACTTGAATGGGTCCAGATGAGGGCAGCAAAGCTGGTGAAGGGCTGGAAGGCATCTCCTGTGAGGAGCAACTAAGGACTTTGGTCTTTAGCTTGGGGAAAAGGAGGCTGAGGGATGACCTCATTGTTCTCCATAGCTTCCCAAGGAAGTGAAGTGAGGCAGGAGGTGCTGATCTCTTCTCCCTGGTATCCAGTGATAGGACACATGGGAATGGTTCAAAGCTGTACCAGAGAAGTTTAGACTGGACATTAGGAAACATTTCTCTACTGAGAAGGCAGTAAACACTGTAACAGGCTTCCCAGAGAGGTGGTCAATGCCCCAAACCTGGCAGTGTTTTAAGAGGCATTTGGACAATGGTCTCAGTAACATGCTTAAACTATTGGTCGACCCTGAACTGGTTAGACAGTTGGACTAAACGATTGCAGTAGGTCCCTTCCAGCTGAAATAAATCTATTCTATTCTGTTCTATTCTAATTGACCAGTCTTATTACCTGCCATTATCTATGAAAATCTAGAGGTATCTATCATGTAATAAAAGAATATAGTTAGTCTTTTCTTTGACAGTGCAGTAGTACTGGTTTTTACACTTAAAAAGCCAGAGTAGTAATGAAGCCTTTTGATCTTTTAGCTCCAAGTCTATTAGTAAGTTCCCCTACCAGTTTTTGAGTCTAAAACAGAGGAAAAAATACATCAGCTGGTGCAACTTGCATGACATCATTAGTTAGCCAAGAGTCTTCATTAAACAGGAGTATGGTATGTTCGCATTTCTTCTACATGCATCTACTATGCATTTAACACTTGACATTCACAAGCAGAAAATTCTACTTACTTTTCATTTTCCTCTCTGTAATTTGCAACTATTCTATCCATTAGCACTTTTGCAAAGGCGTCTGCGTTACTTGCCAAACCTTGCTTTAAATCCTCAGAATTCAAATAGACCATAGGGAAATGAGCCACCTCAGGTAAACTCAAGATTTCCTTCTTGTGGGTAAAGAATTCATCTATTAACTTCAGAAAAACAGTAGATTTTACACTTCAGAGCTCTTATTTAAATACTTGGCTACATGAGTAAGTATTATACATTGAAGACAATATTTTTGTTTTCTATTTACCACAGACTTTTAGGAGAAAAAACACTTAATGTTGTAGATTTGTAGGTAGTCAACACAATTTTTAGCTAAAGGTTAAGTACTCCTTATCCTCTATTTCCTTTTGATTATTGCTCTATGTATAGTAAAAATTAAAGATAAAATGTAGAACTAAAACTTACAGCAGTATAGTCCTCAAAACTGTGTTCTTCTGCTTCAAATCTGTCTACTCGTGCCTGTGCAGTTCCATCTACAAGCCAGCCATACTTCTCAACTACAATTCAATTAGATTGGATTAATACTATTATAACACATACACTGTCCAGTAAGTTACTTATTACAAAGAAGTAGCACAGTTATTTAAACACACTTTTAACACTCACCATATTTTTCAAAATATTTCTTTGGACCCTCTAAGTTGTCTCTGATACGTTTTTTCAGTGTAGATGTGGCCCATTCTAAAACATGATTAGGAAGCTCAGCGTCCAGAGTTGTAGTGTCTCCCATTAGCCAAGAACGTACTGTTTGGATGTTCTAAGTGCAAGTTTTAATTAGTTTAAAAAGCAATATCAGAACACATGTATTTTAAGAGTAAGTTACAATCTGCAGAAGACACTGAAAAGTATAAGACCCTAATTGTTACCAAGGTCAGGTGCTTCACACACATTTAGAATGACTCTTCCCAATTAGAACAGTTTAACAGGAAACACATAAAACAGACAAAAAATAATTACCCAATCTTACAGAAAATTCTATCGTATGTGCCAACACATAAAACTAAATGCAAAATACTTCTTTCAAAGTACCATTATATATGATTAAAGGCCAATACTCAGTCCACAGGGATATAGCTAAAGCTCCCAGAAAGGCTGTCTTCCCTGGAGTCACAGGTTGGTTCGTAAGACATAAATCTTTAGATATTGTATGTATCAATTGTTAAGAGATTTTAGGCTTTTCTTTTTCTTAGAAGGAAAAAGAATATCAACTCTATTTTTCTCTGGGGATCTTAATAACGAATGCAAGTTTATTGTAAATCATCACCCATATAAACTAAGGTGCTGATTGTATTTCTATGCAAAATGTTGGTTCACAACAAGTATACACAACAAGACTACTTAATTTTCAATGTTCCAGATAAATATATAAATAAATTAGAAGACGTGGTTACTTGTACTTAAGGCACTCTCAAGTTTTCTAAGTATACCAAATAAGAAAACAAAAAGTTTATTTTCTATCTAGTTTTATTTCCTGGGTAGGTTTTTAGCCTGAACCTCTCTAATGAACAGGCAGACAATTCATTTGTAGACAAATCTGCAGATTAAACCAGCAGACTAAAACTATCAGTAGCAGGTACACCAATTTTTTATGAACAAGGAATACAAAAATGAGTTTCAGAGCCTGGAGTTCCACTGGGCATCAAGATTCACAATGTGACCTGCAGAATGCTCACGAAAAATAAATACCTCAAGTTGCATTCTGCTTCCTATTACCATGGTAGTCAGAGTTCTAAATTACTTTTATTTTCATTCACTGAGCAACCTCACAGTTACATATTTAAGGATAAAAGCACACCTGGAGAGTCTGTCCTATGCGATTTACTATAAACAGAATTGCTTCTTCTAGGTCTTGGAAGCTTGGATAAAACTCTATTTTCTGGTCATCAAGAGTCAATTCCATCTTAAACAAAGGTGGGCAATTTCTGTCCTCAGGATCAAAAAGTTTCACAAAAGCTTCAACCGTTCTTGTCAATAAGTCTTTCACCTGGGCAATAACATATATCACCTATTAGTTAAAAGAACAGAAAGCCCCATCCCACTTGCCTTCATTCAGTAAATGAGGATTTCCATTCATTTTACAACTTATAGCCTGACTCATGGGTAACTGAAGGACTATGAATTTTTCTAATGCCATCAGTGGGTACTAGTCCCAACCTCTAAAAGATGTAAACTAATGAACAAGTACACAAACATTTCAGTAAAGCCCATGCATTTATTTTTGCTACAAGTCAGTCTATTACTAACACATGCTTAAGTATAAATGAAATATCTGAAATGCATTTTCCTCACATTCTTTTTAATATAACAAGGATTTGATTAGACTATTGTTCTGTTATTTTTCCACAAAGTAAATAAAAGTTTAATCCCCAAAATACTGCCTTCTTGAACTGCTGAACATAGATATTCCCACTGATTAATATATTCTTAAATAGAACAATGTGAACAACAGGTGCTCTAACTGGAAGTTAAAGGATTTTTAATTTTCAGTAAACAGAGAACTTCTTTGAAAAACAATTGTCTCAATCTGAAATCAGTTATTTCCTGTGAGTGTTCTTTGTTTGCTATTATTAGGAAACGAACCAATTGGAAATTCCTAAAATAACAACAACAAATTAACTGAGAAACACTTCATATAACTTCCATCTTGATATAAATAATCAGGGAGGAAAAAGGAAAAATTAAGTAAGAAAGCACTGTGGGATCATTTTCCACAGAAAATGTATTGGAAATGTTGCAGAACTATATCCACTTGCATACATGTGGCAGAGCTTGACTTCAGCCTGTTTGTGTAAGTATGTTTGCTTTCAGAGGAGAGAGACAAGGTTTTGTTCATTTTGCTAATATATGACATGTAACTGTAGTGCCAATATCAGTGATAGGAAGGGGCCTAAGAACACAGATATTTTCTTTGATAAACTAATTACATTGTTGTTGGTAAAATTATGCCATTTTTTGCATCTAAAAAGCTATAAGACACAGAAGTAGACAAGATCATGTATTTATTTTAAATGAGGGAAGTTAAAAATATATAACACTTTGAACACTTTACTGGATCATATGCAACAGATGGCTAACAACGATTAAACAGGTCCCATAGCATATATTGTGCTGACTCATTAAATGCACTGACATAAATTTCACATTAAGTTTATCATGAAGAGGAAAGATTTTTACCTGATTAGACATAAGAACAGCCACACAGTTATAAAAACAGTCAAGCTGATCCAACTTTACACCACTCAGTGCCTCCTTCTGAGTAAAGAGATTGATTACTCTTTGATACCATGTGATCAGTATTTTCTCTTCCACTTTAGAACAGCTTAAAGAGACATCAGTCTTTAAAGATTCACAGTCAATTGGCTCTTTCAGTCTAGAAAAGAAAGTTACAAACAACCTTATAAACAAAATTTTAAAACCCATTGAGTAAAGAAACAGCCATCTACACTGTATTAGAAACCCTTACTTTTTTAGCAGAAAGCACAGTGGGAACCTAAGCATCACTTCCGTAGACTTAAATGAGGAAAAAATACCAGAAAGCCCAGGAAATAATGAACAGTTACCAGAAAAAATAACAAGGAAAAAGATATTGACAATTATCATTTTGAAAATTATGAGAAGTTCCAAGGTTAAAAGTAAAATTCAACCGATGAAAACTGGCAAGAAACCTGATAGAATTCCCTACTCAATACAATTTTTCAAAGGCTACTTCAACCAGACTTCTATAGTGATCATGGCATTAAGATTAATAAAAGTAAAGAGGAAACCTTTACAGAATGCAGGGACTGGAAGAATGAAGAACTGTCCGCTGTAGGAGAAAATCAGGTATGAGACCATTTAAGGAACCTGAAGGTGCACAAGTCCTTCCATGGGACCTAATGAGATGCACTCACAGGTCCTGAGGGAACTGGTGGGTGAAGCAGCTAAGCCACTATCCATCATATTTGAGAAGTTATGGCAGTGAAGTTCCCACTGACTGGAAAACTGGAAACATAACCCCTATTTTTAAAAGGAAAAACCAGGAAGACCCAGGGAACTATAGGCCTGTAAGTCTGACCTTGGTGCCTGGCAAGATCATGGAGCAGATCCTTCTGGAAACTATAATAAGGCACATGGACAATAAGGAGGTGCTGGTGACAGCCAGCCTCAATAATGGCAAATCATGCCTAACAAATTTGGTGGCCTTCTACAAGGGGGTTACAGTGATGGTAGGTAAGGGAAAAGCAACTGACGTCAAATGCTTTTCACAAGTCCAGGTAGATGACACTTTCCCACACAACATCCTTGTCTCTAAATTGGAGAGGCATGGATTTGATGGATGGACCACGTGGTGGATAAGGATTTGGCTGGATCGTTGCACTCAGAGAGTTGTGGTCAATGGCTCCAAGTGGAGATCAGTGATGAGTGGTGTCCCTCAGGAGTCAGTACTGGGACCAATGCTGTTTAACATCTTTGTCACCAACATGGACAGTGGGATTGAGTGTACCCTCAGCAAGTTATCAGCTTCAAAATCCTATATGGGTTAATAATTCACCAAAACAGACTTTACCTGAAGCTTGAGAAATCCACTATAAGAAAGTTAAAGAATGCTGCATAACCAAAATCCAGTACCGATTTCATTGTGGGGTGGAGAATGTGCAACTTGGAAAGGATTTTACTCTTTGCTTGGATAAAACTGTTACGCCATGGACTAGAAAAATCCAGGCCTCTGAAAAAATAAAAAACAAAAACAAAACCACAACCCAATAACCAAAACAAACAGATAAACAGAAGTGAAGAGTTCAAACAATATGTGAATAAAACATATAGAAAGTAGCATCAAAAAGCTTATTCCCTAATGTGAATAGTTATTTAAGTGCCATACACATATCCTCAATGTGATGCAGTGGAAGCCACAAAAATACTCTGATCAACCATGTTTTATATTCCACAGTATGTTCAGATCATCCACTCTTTCAATGTAAATTTCTAACTTCACCAGCTGCTAAGAGGAAGTACTTATCATCAGTATTTAGATGGCACACATTCTGATGCTTCAGCAAATAGTGGAATTCAGATAATTATATTCTGTCTACCAAATTCCTCCTCTATTTGGGTAGAGCATAATAGCCTTTCCTTCGGTCTCAAGGTTTCACCTCTTAACAACAAAGTCATACGAAACCTCGGCATAAGGTGCAGTTTCGGCATGTTAAAGTACTGTACAATGCTGCTGTGTGTCAATAAACAGCCCCATACACATGCACTTCATTCCAGAAATGGCTGCAGTATGACTTGAGAGTCTGGGCACTCAGAGACAGAAGTCTCATTTGCAGTCATTAGCACTACACTATGTAACTGTAACAACAGTGATAAAACCCTGTCAAGTGCTGAAACTTTGTAAAGCAGTCAGATATGAGATGTTCGAATGCAGACAGAAAAGCATGTCTTATGTGTTCGTGCACAAGAATTTCACTCATGTAATGGAGTGCACTTTGAATGTAGCGGGTTAATTTGCTAACTTAATCCACTCACACAGGTGATGAAGGCAAAGGTGCCTCCTCTTCATCTTCAAGTCCTTTTATGTCTGGTTTAATAAGAACACTTCGCACTAGGAAAAAAACATATGAACATTAGGAGAAAATTAAGCCATATTCAATAGGTACTGCTCTTCCTCAGTCTTTCTCCAGGTTGAACCAAACACCCAGTAGGACGGAAAGGTAATTGTATCATCCAAGTCTTCAAATATGTTCTCCCAAAGGTAATTCAAAATCACAGCTTCTGCTAAATATCTATACAGATTCAGATGGTTTAATTCTAATGCTGTCCCCTATTTATCAAGGTTTTCAAATAGATCAGTGTTTAAATAATTAAGTACTTCAGTAATTTCTTCACCAAGAGGATGGCCAGTCACTGGGACAGGCTCCCCAGGAAAGTGGTCAACACCAAGCCTGGAAGAGTTTAAGAAGCATCTGGACACTGCTCTTAGTCATATGGTTTAGTTTTAGGCAGTCCTGCAAGGAGCAGGGATTTGGACTCAATGATCCTTATGAGTCCCTTCCAACTTGAGACATTCTATGATTCTAAGTATTTACTGCAATTCTGTGGAATATAATGACAGTGGGGTACTATAATTATCCCACTGATGACATTCTAAAGAAGTTAGTTCCATGTTGAATTGTGAATTTTTTTAATCTGCATTTTTAAAAAGATAAGCCATCCAAATTTGACTCAATTTCAGACACTACAATTGTAAATTAAAGACACTAACACATGATTTTGAGGGAATACACTTTCAAAATTCCAGTTCACAACTCTTGAGAAGTTTAAAAATGAAAATGAATTGTATAAGCAATATCTGAAACCAGCCACTTATCTTCGCAGCTTTCCAGTGCGAGATTGCTCATGCGTAGAAAGCAGCATTAATATAGTAATATTAGTACTGTGTAGTTTCTGTTACTTACCCATATATCTTCTCATGCTTTTTTCATATTCCTTCATTACCTCCTCTAGAAGCTTTTCAGCTAACAGCTTTCTGCCTTTGCCTTCCATAAGTGACTGTGGCACCAATGAGAGCATGGACATCAGCCACTGGCGCTGAATGGGAACGATGGGATTACCTTGCACACACTTCTTCATAAAGAGATAGTTTGCCTGAAAGGACAATATAGTCAGAGGTCTAATAACTGGCTATGTAAATATTTTTGCTCGACAATGAGGTCTCTTTTTATTTACCATCTTATACTTAAGGGTAGGTGACATACTTAAGGGTAGGTGACATAATCTCATCTTTCAGTACTCACTGACTAGTATCCTAAAAGTTACTCTATGGTTGGTAAAATGGCCTTCCTGTCTCAATGCTTAAGTATAAAATATTGTACTTTTTAGTACAGCATTTTGCTTAGTTGTCTGCTGAAGTTTATGACTGACAGTGAACAGTTCAAGGTTACCGTTATTGTTCTTTGGACAAAAATTTCTCTGGCAAAAAGCATGTACAAACAGAGTTGGGTATTTTTTTGGCCTAAGGAATAGGTGTTTATGTTTCTGAGTGATAGCTTTGCTATAAAACAAAAAGGGACCTGAATCTCTACAGTCTTCAGAATGAGCTTACTTAACATCAGCTAGGTAACAGATGCTACCTTAAGCTACATTATACAAATATTTCAATGCTAATTTGAGTTTAAAGTGGCTCTCAGAGATAAAGTCTTATTTTAAAAGCTATACACAAATTCCAGGATCTGTATGTGTTCTTCAAATCAGGTGAACAATGTCAAAGACTAAGTTTTATACAAGCTAAAGTACTATTTATGACCCCAGTGGAACTGAAAAAATCCTGAAGCCTGTTACAATTTTTCCTAAGTAATGATCTTGAACTACATGATTTTAGATCAAAACTTAAATTACTGATGGTCATACTTTCTGTAATAGAAAAATACTTTCCTTCTACTGGACCACAAGAAGAGATTCCTATTTTGCTTCCTATTCCATTTTTTCCCAACAAGACTATTGAAAAAGCACTTCCTGTTTAACCACCATTAACTGCACATAACACACTAATCCTTCTGAATAGAGACCATTCACTCTTCTACTCTAAAAAAGCAGATGAAAGAATTTAACTCACCCTCTGTTGTTTTAGCTCACTGTTCATCTGCATAAAAAGGAACAGAAAATCATTATGTATTAAGAACATATAAACAAAAAAATAATACCAGAAATATAGAATTTAACACATATTATTCCTAAACAAAGTCTTTATTCTGTAGAGACACAGGTATTGATTTCCATGTGACCTCTTGAGCATATAAATATATTTATAAATTACTAAGGATTGAGATAAATATCTTTAAGTAAATACTAAGAAGTAAGAGCCATAAATGCAAGAATAACAAAGAACAAAACAGGCATTAAAGAAACACTTTCTCACAGTGGAAGGCAGTTCCGGGATAGGAGGCACAGGTTCTCTGTTGCATTTTTCTTCCATGGATATGCAATAGGCTTTTAAAGCTCGATCAATTCTGAAGTAAAACAGAGAGTCAGAAGTACAGAAAACCTACAAATAATATATTAAAAATAACACTATCATTTTAATTGATGCAACCTGTTTTTTCATTTACCAGCTCTTTGAGCACTAAAAGGTAAGGCTGCCTTTTCATACTCTGTCTGCTCTTATATTAACAGCCACATTTATCCTGACCACAATAACAATATATACATGCCTTGATTCACCTCATCCAATTGCTCCTGTTTGGATTATATCTTACTTCTCCTCAAATAACTACAACAGATCTTGTCCAACTGAACTGGGGGGGGGGAAGAAAAAAAGTGCAGAACAAAACTCCCATAGGTATTGATTTTAAGACCAGCTCTTTTGTACTGTCTGTGATTATAAACTGCTAAATAACTATCAGAAAACTTTAAGTGGTTAATGGTAGCACATCCTGCTGAGCTTGCACATTAAAACATTTCAGTCCATTCTTTTGGGATACACATATCTCTGTACATCTCTTGCCAGAAGTATTTCAGCCTGATCTCAATATAGCACAACTGAAGACCTTAGGCCCACTGTAGGAGAGGATCAGGTTCGAGACCACTTTAAGAACCTGAACACACACAAGTCCATGGCACCTGATGAAATCCATC